GGAATCCCCATCCCTAGTCATCAGCCACAAATTTCCAGCTGCTACGGGGTCTGTTTGAAATAACTTTCACCTGACCCCTTGTGTGAATGCTTAAAGTGACATATTTTGGACATGAGCCACTATTTTTGATGATGCAGCAGCTTCTTTAAGTCCCCACTACTGAACTTGCTCTGTTCCTGCAGAAGGTGGCTGTGAAATATCCCATGGACGTTTCTTAATCTGTGCTGAGCTTCTGGGGATATTCTACCTGCAAGGTGCAGTATATTCAAGTAGCCCAAGGTGGCTAAGTTAAATTCTGGCTCTGGCAGATACCTCTACCAATTTTTGCTGAGGTGGCTGAAAAGGTTTCAGCTTCCAGCTGTTCATCCTCTTTCTCTGCCAGAGGCTACAAGGCTCGTAACAGCAGTAGTAAAATGAACAAGTGCCAGCTCCTGGCACAGCAGTTGATGGTCTGCCCTTCCTGGCCAGAGCTATTTAATAGATAGTCACAGCCTATCTGTCAGAAGTCCCAGTCTCATGGGAGGGAAAGGATTATGCCCCAGACATAGATTTGCCATAGGGAATAGAGGACTTCCAAAATTTTACAGAATAGAGATAGCTGGATTAGATCATAAAATAGGGAGTGTTTCTTGTTTACATGTGCCATTTTTTTTAGCTTTCTCATGCAAAAATGTTCTTATTCATAAGCATTCAAAGTAGAGTTTTTGAGAAAATTTTTGAAGGTCTGGATTGCTTGCACACTGGAAAAAATGCATTTTTTCTTCTACTCAGATGGACAGTTGAAATTCTGAAGAAAGATTTCACAGTCTGCGGTTGGAAAGCAGGTGCTCCAGTGCCAGGCCTATAGGAGCTCATCTTATTCAGCTTGTCAGACGAAAGGCTGAAAGGTGCCTTGATCACTGTGATTGGTACTTACACCCTGGAAAGATGTCTGATAGCAAGATGTCAGCCTTCCTGACAGTGGCATAATGAGATCTAGTGTTGAGAAATGGGAGTTACAGAAATTCAGTCCTGAAATAAGATACAAGTTCATACTTTGGGATCTAATTAAGCATTATGTCAACAGCAAACGTATCATTTCTCAGACATTTTAAAATGAAGTTTGATATCTTTTTCAGAACAGATGCATTCTATATCATATTTATAAGAAATTCTATGGGCAGTATAGTTACACCAGATGGTTATGGTAGTCATATCTTCCCTGGAAACCATTATTCCTTACGTCTCCTCTTTTGAACTTCCCTCGTTATCTTCATACATTCACTGTGCTACATTGCAAACTTTGCTATAATTCAAATACTATGTTGCATGTGTTTAGTTGCAATGATCATGCAGAAATTTCTTTTCTGCATACTGGCTAGATACAGTCAAGGGTGATTTCAATTTAGTTTGCCTTCCCTAATGCTTGATCCTGTGACTTAAGAATCTTTATGAAGTGCATGAGTCTTTCATATAATTCCCACATTTGGATGTTTGGTCATCTGTCCTTGCTCCCAAGCTTACAATCACCAAATCTGCATTCTTGGAATAATTTCCCTAAGGTATTTTTCCATGAATATTGACATTTTCACCATTCTGTGTGTTCTTCTTGGATCATCTGACTACCTAATCAGTGCCTTGCTATTAGTGGTCCCTCTGGCATGACAGGATCCTGGATCTCAGCCTCTTGTTTGTTGCTTGTGGCCCTCTACTTAGCTTTGAAGTGCTTTTGTTCTACAATGGTCTGGGGGCTTAACGTGAGCAGGTATCAAAAAAACAAAACATAAAAAGTATACCTAAAGTTAAACTTTCTAGCCTTTTGACTTGGCCTTAAACAAGAAATGACATTCTGCAACATTTTTTAATAATTTGTTAGAGTAAATTCTCAGAAAAATATATTGATGCATAATGTCTGTAAAATCTGAATGACATGTTAACATCAAAAAATACCCAGCAGCTGTCTGATTTATTACTTGATTTCTCCAATATTCAATCATGGAGTTTAGTCACTGCAATATTTAGCATCTGCTTGTCAGAAGTACGTGTAATACGTTGTGTAATGGGTTGTATAGGCCAGTAAAATTTGATACAATGTGTATTTTTGTAGTGTTTATATTTGTAGGTTGTAGAGTGCAACGTATTAGCTGACACCAACACTGCCGCCATGTTAGTATTTGTCCTACATTTTGCACTAGCTAAATTATTATCTGCCCTCAGTCAGAACAGTGTGGTGCATGGCTTCTTGGAAGTTCCTAGACTTCAGATGTGAGCCTGAAAAACACCCATACACTCAAAGGATGAAGCATATACACATGCACTTCTTATGGCAAGCACTGTCAGGAGATAACCTCCTTCACGTTCTCAATGTTTACTAAAATGTTTATAAAAGAGTGAAATTATGATCTTTGTATACCAAAACAAAACAAAATATTTACTTCAATGCTGGTTTGTTTATACATCATCCCCTTTCCCAACTACCAAAGCAGCATGGAATGCAAATGACCTGTACATCCCACCCCAGCCAAAAAACAAAGGTACACAAGTCTTCAATAACAAGAAGTTCAGAGACACTGATGCAGCACATTGTATCTGTGCTCACCTTGCCCTAATGTGATAATCCCTCATCAAAAGAATAAACTGAGAAAAAACATCAACAATTTGATCAGCTGGAAAATTCTTCCCATGTTTATTTCCCATGTGTTTATAAGCTTCCAAAACATGCCCCTAAACCCCAGAAATTAACATTGAATCATTTCATCTTAAATAGACTGCTTTGTAATGTGCAGGCTCTGCAGCATGGCATCTCTCAACAACTCTCCACCAGGACAGCTTAACTTATACTACGTCCACCTTGAATTCAGCTTTACAAGTGAGGTGATGTATGCAGCAGCAGTTCAAGGAACCTATCCAGATAAGACAGTGTCAAAAGATCAGCAGATACAACACAAAGACACCTTCAACTACCATATTTTTCTTCAAGGTTATACTCTATGCCTCCAAGACTGTCTTGCTTTACTCATCATCCTCAGGTCTGCAAGAACCTTGTATTCCCTAAACTTTCCTGCCACTCACTGTGCTTGATTTCAAGCAAAAAAACTGCACAAGCATCACTTAACCTGTGGATGACTCATCCAAACAGAACAGATGAAACATAAAGGCAGGCAGTTAAATGAACTGTCTTTTATGAACCTATGTATGATGTATATATATCATATGACATTTCATCTAAAGCTTTCCCAATGTGTCTCCAAGATCCTTCAGTATCATTAAGGGCAGATTTCAAAACCTTTCATTTTAATCCATTAAAAGCGAATGCTAATACAATATTCTGATGTGTGATAATAACTACTTGTGACAACATTTCTTTTCGTATTAAAGAGTAACTGCATGAGAAGTTTGGGCGAGAGCAAACAAAGAATATGACTGCATTGTAATAAGAAAAGGAATATAACTAGGAGCCGGTTTTAATATAAATTCAGAGTTGCATTGTATTCTTTATTTAAATTATTATTATAAATAAAACATACAGACAACACTATGACATGGTCAGTTAGAATCTCCCTTAGAATGACCCTTTGTAAGACAAGTTGTAATGCTCAGTAACCAGCATGCACAAAATATTCAACTGCTGTTATTAAAAGCAATTTACTCATACAAGTTAGGGATGTAATTACAGGAACACTGGCTGACTTTAACTGATGCAAGAGCTATGACAGAGTTCAGCAAATGTCCAGAGTGGTAAAGCTGCTTTAAGGGATGCAAAGCTGGCTTCTGTCTCCCATCTGGTGGCATCACACCACAGTCATATAATGTAGTCACAACCAGGAAGCCTGTTTTAATCTTCTCATTTAGGTTGCAGCAAACTCTATCAACATTTATAATAATAATTATGAAGTAGCAAAGCTTGCAAGAATTTTTTTTATTCATTCTTGATGTGCTTTAAATGAGAAACCCTACATGGACTATGACACAAAGACATTTTAAACAGGTTGAACAAAACCAGATAACAAAATTTCTCATGGTGACACCAACTGAAAGAATCTTCATTTGATCACCTACTTTC